CAGTAATTATGCCCAATATATAGGCTTGTTTTCAGAGAGAGAGAGAGAGAGAGAGAGAGAAAGAGTGTAACTGGGGCTTGAATTCAAGGTCTCAAACTCTTACTTGGCCTTTTCGCTCCCAACTGGCACTCTGTCACTTAAGCCACACCTCCACTTCCAGCTTTGCATTTGGCTGGCTTTGAAAATCAATTTGCAGAACTCAGCCTCCAAGATTAGCTAGTGTTACAGGTGAGAGGGCCACTTGTGCCAGATCTCAACACATACTTTTTTTTTTGCACATACTTTTTTTTGTCAGTCATGGAGTTTTAACTCTAAGCTCAAGGCTAGCTACCACCACTTTGAGTCACAGTGCCACTTCTGGTTTTCTAGTGGTTAGAGATAAAAGTATCCTGGAAGCCTGGTGCCGGTGGCTCACACCTATAATCCTAGCTACTGAGGTGGCTGAGATCTGAGGACCACTGTTCAAAGCCACCCTGGGCAGGAAAGTCTGTGAGACTCTTGTCTCCAATTAACCACTAGAAAAAAACAGAAGTGGCGCTGTAGCTCAAACTGGTAGATCACTAGCCTTGAGCTGAAGAGCTCAGGGACAGTGCCCAGACCCAGAGTTCAAGCCCCACAACTGACCCTCCCCAAACCTTCACCCTCCCCCCACCTCCCCACCTCCCCACCCTCACAAAAAAGTCTCCTGGACATTCCTGCCCTGGCTGCCTCTGAACTGTGATCCTCAGATTTCAACCTCCTGAGTATTACAGGCATAAGTCAACAGCACCCGGCTAGTACTTTTTTTTTTAAACAGGTGGTTTCTGACATTTATTGCAAAAAAGAAAGGCTCTTATCCCTTTTTCCCTCTAACTCTTCTGCCTTCTCTTCTTTTTCTTCTTCAAATTATTTTCCACTGGTAGCATATACATTATGAATAAGTCCATTTAGATTTGCTGCTAACTCACAGCATCTTTTAAAATGAAAGGTGTATCAGAGGTTGGTGGCTCACGCCTCTAACCTAGCTATTCAGGAGGATGAGATCTGAGGATCACAGTTCAAAGCCAGCCCTGGCAGGAAAGTCCATGAGACTCCAATAAACCACTCACAAAACCATAGTGGTACTGTGGCTCAAGTGGTAGGGTGCTAGCCTTGAGCTGAAGAAGGACAGTGCCCAGGCCCAGAATTCAAGCCCACAACCCACCAAAAAA